TCTTGAATGTTTCTATTCGATAAACGTGAATATTATATTTTAACTCTTTGTGGAGAAATAATCTCTTGTCTCCGATTGTTGATAGATAGAGAATATATTTTTTACTTTGTGAAACGAGATTATGAAATTAAAGACTCAGCATAGTAGGAATAAAGGAAAATGTGTATTGTTTTGTGAACATTGTGTTAATTAATTTAATTGAATTGAATTTTATTTATTTGTAACTTTAATGTAGCAAAAAATTAAGATTGAGGATTTGGATAAAATAAGATTTGGATAGATAGAAATGATTGAGAAAATAAAGTAAATAAAAAATAAATTAAAATTATCTATCTTACATTATTGAAGAACATTTTTTGAATTATTTATAAAATAGCTTTGAAAATGATTCAATAAAGGTAAAATTCGAATTAAAATTACATAGGATTAATTAAAAAAAGTTTCACGTTTTCGAAATAAATTTTGGCAATTCGTATCATTAGTTGTAGCACGTGGCTTTAATTGGAGATATAATTTCACAGTAATTGGATATAACTATGTCGCATGAACGCATAATTACCAAAGCGTATTTCGAATTATCGACGATAAGAAATTATCGTGCAATTGATTATGTGTCTAGGCTGGGATTATAAACGCAGCTGTTATTGTCTCTTACCTAACCCCCGTATTCACTAGGAAAATCTCGTTATTGGCTTCAATCAAACTTTCAAATATCAAATTCTATTTGTCGGACGATAGATTTTTTTTTTATATTAGTTACACATAGCTGGTAAATTTGAGTAAAAAATATTTTAAGTTGTTTTATCTATTTTTTAATTAGTGAATAATTATACGAATATTTCTACCAGTGAATTTTAATTAATAATTATAAATATAATCATATGTATAAAAAATTTGATAATTTATAGTTTGAATTTGATAAAATAAACTACTTTTAATTTAATATATAAATAATTTAATATATAAATAGAAAAGTAAATAAAAAAATGAATGAACGAATAAATTCATTTTCATGCACACTTGAAAAATATACAATATTTATAAAGAAAAATACGCGAACATATGGGATAAATAATAAAAATATTTTTTTTTATTCATTTCACTTTATCGAATATTTAAAAATTTTCAAATATCGAAAGCAATTCTCTGAATCATTTTATAATGAATTTTTCACGAAACGAGATGCTATAATATTTCGTAGTTTTATGTATCATTATGTAAATTATGTTATTATGGATCCTCTAATATGTGCCATTTAATCGGAAAAAGCTTGTGTGATGGATAAAACTGAACTGAAATTCTATTTAAATGCTTTGAAAGTCTGAGTGCTCGGTCTGTTCGTGTCGTATTAAATCGATAACTTGTTGAGTTCGATGTTGGAGTGATTTCATAGTTATGAATTGTGTATTATATTTATATTTTGTTTAACAAAATATATGTTATGTTGAATTTAAAAGTTTGGTAATTATTTATTAATTAAGATTGTTTTTCTTACTTATGATTATACCGTTACATCGTGTTGTACATGTATATGTATACAACGAGAAGTAGAAATTTTGAGATAGAGAATAGTAATTTTACCCTGTGGAATTAACGCTACATCGGTGGTGTACATTACAAGACAGAAATAGCATTCTTCAGGGATTAATTAATTTTAATTACTCAATTGCAATCCTCCTCTCTTTTCGTTATTACAAGTGATCTATATGCTCGTGGGCTAAATTTTGTGGTGGATTAATTATAAATACAGTATATATATATAATACAATGTTCTAGAAAAATAATAATAAAAAAAAAAATTTCATCTGAAAATAAAACTTCTATAACACTCTTCCAATTTGAATGAAAATATTTATTTTATTATACACAAAACTATATTATATTTGTTTTAGAATTCGCTATTTTCCATAAAAATAAATTTTCTTTTCTAAAATTCGTATTTTCAAGTCAAGTAAAGAACTCACAAGATATGCGGAAGAGAAAACGCGAGATATTGGCATCGTATGCAAGCACAAAAATCGATTTTAATAAGTGAATAGTAAAAGAACAGTGCTGGTATTTTTCAAGAGAAATTGAAAAGCATCCGCAAAACCGAAAACTGATTATTTTCCTGACAAATACGAGTGAATACGAGTAATTTCAACTTTTAGAAAATCACTTTCAAGACTTCGGGACTCGTTTTCGTAAAGAAATCATGGAAGATCGTCCTATCAAAAGTTTTATAACGCTTGCTTGAATTTTATAATGATGTTTGCGAATTGTTAGTTAATTTTATTCTACATAGTGAGCAATTAAAAAATCTTAAATTAAGATTTATGGAATTTTACTTATATTATTTTTTTTTAAAGTTAACTTTATGATAAAAGTTTGAAATTTTAAAAAAGATGTTTGATTAAATTATCAATCAAAATAATAAATTGATATTTACATTTCTTTTAATTTTAATTTGTATCTTTTTAAAAATGTTGTTCTTATTATATTTAATATTTTACGCGTTAGTTTTTTGTTTTAATTCTAAATTTTTAAGACAACAATTTTGTATTTCATTTCTTAAAGATAGGATTACTTTTATGAAATATTATAAATGAAAATTTTCTATTTACTACGATTATTTTATTTATTCAAAAAACATATTGCATTATTCAAATAATAATAATAAAAATTGAAATACAAATTCAAATTATTTTTTCATATTGAACAAAATATTATGAAATATGTAAAAACTATTAAATTTCCAAAATGATCTCTAATTTCTAATTTCTATAAACATGTTTCACTTCTAAATATAAACTATATTTTCTACAATGTAATTGCTAATCTGTACAATAATAATCTCATAATAATAAATATTATGAGTAATAAGAAATAATAATTATATAATGAAAAAATTGTTAAATAACAGAGAATATTAAATAATGATTTAAAAGACTTGAATATTTATTTTTTATTATTATTTATACAATCTAGATAATCTATCTTTAAAAGGAAGAAATTTAGAATGTTAAATTTACAATGAAATATTAATTTATGAAAATATAATCCTTGCAATTCAGCGAAAGAGAAAGTAATAAAATGATGATCGTCAATTTTCAAATTATAATTAGGAGAATGATATTTTTGCTTGAACTTTCTGTGCAGAGTTCAAGAATGATTCATTATCAAATTAAAATGGATCGAACGACACTCAAACCGAGAAGAATGGTCGAAGGTTTCGAGATTTCAGCGGAAATTTGCACAATTATTTTCTAATCGAACAGGTCAAATTGAATTACAACTCAAATCAGCCAAGTCGAATCAAATCACAAATTAACGGGAGAATCATCGATTCATCATTCAATAAGATTGTTTCCTTTTAAAGGATTTTTTTTTTTCGAAATGTTCAGTGGTTTCATAAACAAATATTGTTTTTTTGTATTATTACCATTTAATATTTTTATTATAATATTATTATTTTTCAAAATGAAACAACAAAATTTTAAATTCCAGTTAAAAGATTTAAGTATTATTTAAGATATTATTAGAATTTTTCTTTTATTTTAATTATATAGAATATTTTAAATAAAATTTTATTGTATTTGAAAAATAGAAAAAATCTAATAGAATATCTTAAATTAAAATATTGAGATATTGAAATGACATATGAATTCATAATAAAATTTATTAAGTCGAGAGGAAAGCAAATTAATTGAATTATTAGAGAATTTAATAAAAAATTACTGAATTATTATTTAACGTATTTTTTGTAACGAATAATTTTTTAAATTTCGATAAAAAAAATTGCATAGAAAAAAAATTATTCAGAAATTACTCTGCGAAGAACCATGAAAGGTATTAAAGGATACTATGTAAAATTTTAATTCATCTGTTCTTTGTACTTAAAACTTTAAAAGGATTATTCCAGAAAAAATAAAAATTCAATACAGTCACAGAATAAAACGAGCAGATTCATTTTCCAATTTAATGAAAGAATCTTTATATTACAAATTGTTCATCTAATATAATAATAATCAGAATATATCATAAATAACTAATATGTTTATATAGGAAATTAATTATTACATTAAAGGATTATTTTTATGATAATTTTTGTATATAATTGAGAAGAAAAATGTTTCATTTTTCGAAAATATTATCCGGCAAAACTTTTATTTAAAACTCTCTAATCGTTGAAAGCTTTTGAACATTTTCAATTTGAATATGTTTCAATACATACTGCTATTCGAATTCCAATGGAAACCTGCATTTTAAGCATATATTAATCGTTATGATATTATCTTATTTTAAACGTGAATACTTTTTGCAAAAATAACGCTAACACTTGCTCATTATTCCTTTTCATTATTTTCGATACTATCCTTTCAAATATGCAAATACCAAATAAAAGAGTTCCCTGTTCCATTCTAAAATAATCCTTGATTTATATAAAATAAATAACCTTAAATATGGCGCACAATTTATTTTCGTGAAACATTCAAACGAACGGCTGACATGTAAAACTACAAAGACTGGTATGTTAACGCTGGGAGCAATTGACGTGTTTTCTTTCGTCACGAACCATTGATGTAATATTAAATAGGCGTTCGTTCTGTTTTCGAATATATTCCATTTCCCAAAGGAGCTATGTATTATCATCCTGTTCAATTTTAAACGTTCGTGCGTAATTAATTCCGAACGTGAAACGAAACGAAATTTTAATTGCGAATAAATTATAATCGAATGTTGAGCATAAACTTTTCATTCGAAAGATTGGCAATTTCAGATTTCTTCTATTTCATAGGAAATATTAAATGGAAATTTAATTAACGATATGTTAATTTCGTTTCGTGTCATGTCAAAGAAAAATTGTTAATTAAACTGAATTGGAATTAGATTGATATTAAAAATGATATAAAAAATAATAATGAATAATAATAGAAAATTGTGTTACATACCTTTTCAATCCTTAAAAATTCTAAACTTTATTTTTCTTCAAAAATGGCACTATCCCATTCGTATCGTAAAACTAATCACGTGTAAATAAATATTTATTATCTATAAACCCACATATATCTCAATAACAAACAAACGATACGATTTATAATGTTAGCTCTTAATAAACATACATACGTAAAAAAAAAAAAAAACGATGGTTACCACGATGGAAGCACCCTCGTGTAAAAATTAA